CGCTCATGCTGGCGAGGCGCCCAGGTATGGCTCGGGCTGAGGGCGGGGCGGGACTGGGGGGCGGCCCTGGGCTCCCCGGGAAAGCGAGGAGAAGGGGCTTTCCCGGACCCCAGGAGGCGAAATCTGGGGACCCCAGGGTGCAGGGTTATGGGAGCATCCGAAGGTACGCCTCCCAGCGAGAGACCTGGGACAGCCGGACAGGAGAGCTGGGGACGCCACAACGGTGGGTCGGAGGCCACCTGAAAAGTCAGCCCCCTTCCCACTCAGGACCCTGGAATCGGGGGCCCCGCCTCCTCCTCTCTCGGACCCTGGAATCTAGGTCCTCAGCTCCCTCCTCCCTCAGATCACGGCGTCCAGGCCTCCAGGCTAGAGTGGGTTCCTCCAGGACACAAAATGCAAACCCCAGGACTTTCCCCTCTCAGAGGTTATCAAGTTTTGAGAGGCTCAGAGACCTCTTGGAGAAGCTAGGACCCTGTGGCTCTAACCAGCAATTCTAAAGATTCCCCTAATTCGGAGTCCAGACTCTGTAAAGCACCCACCTCCCTCCAGGAAAGGGCTGGAGTACTAGCCCTGGGCAGTGACGGTGGAACAAAGTGTTTCCAAGTGACAGGCCCCCTTCCTGGGGCCTCAGAGAAATTTACACACCTGTGTGGGGGTGACAGGAGGGGAGGAGCCCTGAGGGGCTGGACAGAGGGGCAGAGGCATGAAGGAGCCAGAGAAAAGAGAGGAATCTCTTTGCTCACCTTGCTGTCTGCGGCTGAGACCCAGCCCTGGGCACCAGCCTGGCCCCATCTCCCTCCCCTGGGGCAGGCTGGGGCCAGAGGTGAGTGCCTGGGAATTCAGGGCCCCTGGCACAAGCATAGTCAATGGTGGGTCCCCAGGGGTAGGGCTGGGCCAGGCTGGGCGGAGAAGGGAAGGGAGGTTCTGAGAACTGAGGTCTGATGCCAGGATGCCAGCCCAGAGTGTGAGGGAGTGCGCTGGTTTCCCGACAAGAACCACTCTATCTGCCAGGACCCGACCTCCAATTCCCCCAGTTCGGGAGTCCAGGCCCTCAGACCCAGGAGTCTGCCCCCAGGCCCTCCTCTCTCAGACCCAGGAGTCCAGGCCTCAGACCCTCCTCCCTCAGACCTGAGAGTCCAGGCCTCAGCCCCTCCTCCCACAGACCCTGGAGTCCAGGCCCCAGCGCCTCCTCCCTCAGACCCAGGGGTCCAGGCCCCCAGCGCCTCCTCCCTCAGATCCAGGGGTCCAGGCCCCCAGCGCCTCCTCCCTCAGACCCAGGTCCAGACCCCCAGACCCTCCTCCCTCAGACCCAGGAGTCCAGGCCTCCAGTCCCTCCTCCCTAAGATCCAGGAGTCCAGGCCTCAGCCCCTCCACCCACAGATCCAGGAGCCCACGTCCCAGCCCCTCCTCCCTCAGACCCAGAGGTCCAGGCTCCCAGCTGCTCCTCCCTCAGACCCAGAGGTCCAGACCCCCCGGTCCCTCCTCCCTCAGACCCAAGGGTCCAGGCCCCTAGTCCCTCCTTCCTCAGACCCAGGACCCTGTGCTGCAACCTTATCCTGTTCGGAGGTGACTCACCTTACCCTCTCCCCTGTTCCATCAAAGAGACAGGGGGCCAAGGGGCGGTTAGGGGGCTCTGGCGCCAGGCTGGGCAGGTCTCAGCCAGCCTGTCCCTCCCACATTCCTGAAACCTGCCCAGCCCTGTCCCCCCTCACCGCCCCCACACACCCATCCCGCTGGAGCTGGAGCTCCAGGCCCAGCTGCAGCCTCCACCCCAGACCCTCACTCATGGGAAGCAGAAGAGACCCAGGCCCTGAGAGAGCGAGACACAGAAAGCGGCAGAGACAGAGAAGAGAGATGGAGACCCAGATGGAGAGAGACATTCATCTCACATCACCTTGGCAGGCCCTGCCCAGGGTGCTGGAGGCAAAGGATGAGCCGGGTTTGGCCCTGCTTCTGGAGGTGTTTGCTCTGCTGGAAGGGCAGAGGTAGTATTAGCCCAGGAGTGTTGAACGGAGGCCACGGGGCTCTGGGCAACCCAGGGAGGAACCCTTAGCTCTGCAAGTCGAGGGAGAGATGGAGAGAAGCACTCACAGGTTGGAGGCTCAGAGATGAGGAGGTAAGGGAGGAAGAGGAGCTGAGTCTGCCAGGCACAATGGCTCACGCCTGTTATCCCAGCATTCTGGGAGGCAGAGACGAGAAGATTGCCTGACCTCAGGGGATCGAGACCAGCCTGGGCAACTTGATGAGACCTCATCTCTACAATAAATCAAAAAATCAGCCAGGCGTAGTTCCAGTTACTTGGAAGGCTGAGGTGAAAGGATTACCTGAGTTCAGGAGGTCAAGGCTGCTGTGGCCGGGAGCATGCCACTGCACTCCAGCCTGGGCGACAGAGTGATTCTGACTCAAAAAAAAAAGAGGAACTGGGTCTGAGGGAGAAGGGACTGGGCATGGACTCCCAGGTCTGAGGGAGGAGGAGGGGCTGGGAGCCTAGATCCCTGGGTCTGAAGGAGGAGAGTCTGGGAACTTGGACTCCTGCATTTTGGGGGAGGAGGGACCCTGTCTGGAGGGCTCTGTCCGGGGAGGGAGCAGGGAGATTGCTCAGTTGCTCTCCTGCAGGTGCCCAGGCCGAGGTGCACCTGTCTGTGCCCCCCTTGGTGGAGGTGATGCGAGGAGAGCTCATCACCCTGGACTGCACCCCTCTGGGTGCCCATGACCATTACGTGCTGGAATGGTTCCTTGTGAGTGCTTTGGGCTGGGAGTCGGGGTGCCGCAGGGCTGCAATCCTTCATCTCCTTGTCAGGGTGTGAAGAACCAAGCTCATTCCATGTCACAGATGGGGTCGTCGAGACCCGGCCAGGGGGCAGGGGTGGCCGAGGTCCCCAGTGTCTGGCACGGATGAGTCTACCATGACCGAGTCTTCCTTCAGACCGCTGGCTCTTGAGAGAGGCCATTCGGGGGCTGACACCCAAAAAGTGAGAGATTGGAGGGCAAGACGAAAGGAGAGAGACAATGAGAGACGGGCGGGAGAGAAGAGACAGAGAGGAGAGAGAGACAGAGAGGGGGCAGGGTGGGAACGTCATGGAAGGGAGAAAGGGCAACAGAGGGGAAAAATCTAGCAACTGGGTTAGGTAGGGACAGGGGACCCAAGAGACCGTGACAAGGGGGAAACGGCCATGACAAGGGAGAAACGGCAGTCATGATGCCGCAGAGAGACAGAGGCCAAGGAGGCTGAGCAGAGCAGGACGGCTGAGCTCAGAGCCTCCCTCCCGCCCGCCGGCAGACCGACCGCTCTGGGGCCCGCCGCCGCCTGGCCTCAGTGGAGCTGCAGGGCTCCGAGCTCCAGGGCACGGTGCATGACACCCGGGGCCGCAGTCCCCCCTACCAGCTGGACGACCAGGGGCGTCTGGTGATGCCCGAGGCCCAGGTGGGCGACGAGCGTGACTACGTGTGCGTGGTGAGGGCCGGCGCAGCGGGCACCGCCGAGGCCACTGCGCGGCTCAGCGTGTTTGGTGAGTGTCCGTGGGCACCCCCGGGAGGGGCCGGGCAGGAAAGGGCAGAGGGTGGGGGCTCCTGACTGGAACGTTTCCCGTAGCAAAGCCAGAAGCCACGGAGGTCTCCCCCAACAGAGGGACTCTGTCTGTGATGGAAGACTCTGCCCAGGAGGTACCTGGGGAATGGACCGTGATCCAGGGCTCCAGGAGAGGAGGGGGCGGGGGTCTGGGCACCTGGGTCCTATCCGAGGAGTGTCCTGGGTCCTATCTGAGGGAGGAGGGGCTGAGGGTTTGAACTCCTGGGTCTGAGGGAGGAGGGGCTGAGGGTTTGAACTCCTGGTCTGAGGGAGAGGGACTGAGGTTTTCAGAATCCTGGTCCTATGGGAGGAGGGGGCTGGAGGCCCAGCCTTCTTAGCCTGAGGAGTTGGACTTCTGGGCCCCTGAGAGTAGGGAGTTAGGGAGCCCAGCTCCTGTGTCTGAGTGGCGAGAACTGAGGGAGAAGGACCCAGACTTCGAGTCCTGGCTGGAAGCCCAGGGCCAAGCCTGTGTCTGCCTCAGATCGCCACCTGCAACAGCCGGAACGGGAACCCAGTGCCCCAGATCACGTGGTACCGGAACGGGCAGCGCTTGGAGGTGCCCATGGAGATGAACTCAGGTGAGCGGCGAGGAGCCCAGAGACACAGGGGCCGGAGCGGGCGGGGGCCGGAGTGGGCGGTGGCCAGAACGGGCTGACCCCCTCCCCCTCTCTCCCAGAGGGCTACATGACCAGCCGCACGGTCCGCGAGGCCTCGGGCCTGCTGTCTCTCACCAGCACCCTCTATCTACGGCTCCGCAAGGCTGACCGGGATGCCAGCTTCCACTGCGCCGCCCACTACAGCCTGCCTACGGGCCAGCACGGCCGCCTGGACAGCCCTGCCTTCCACCTCACCCTGCACTGTGAGTCTGTGCCAGCCCTCAGCCTCCCTCCCAGGCCTCTCCCTGAGGCCTGACTCTCCCCTCTGACCTGACACCCTCCTGCCTGATGCTGAAGGGTGTGTTGGTGCTAGCCACTGGCCTCAGACCTCAAGGGGTGGCATGAGCCCTGTCCTGACCTCTGACTCCACTAGGCACCACGAACGCCATGGATTTTTATGACTAAAGGGTGTGCGTCTCTCTCTCACACTAAATTTGCCCCATCTGGCCCCAAATCTGACACACCTGTTGACCACACTGACCTCTGACCCTTGACCTGGTCTTTCAGTGTATCTTTTTTTCTTTTTTTTTTTGAGTTAGGGTCTCACTCTGTCACTCTGGCTGGAGTGCGGTGGCACTCTCACGGCCACTGCAGCCTCCACCTGCTGGGCTCTGGTGATCCTTCTGCCCCAGCCTTCCAAGTAGCGGGAACTACAGGCGCGCGCCACCACGCCTGGGTAATTTTTTGATTTCTTGTAGAGACGAGGTCTTGCCATGTTGCCCAGGCTGGTCTGTAACCCATGGGTTCAGGCTGTCCTCTCGCCTCCGTCTCCTACAGTGCTGAGATGACAGGCGTGAGCCACCACGCCTGGCTTCAGTGTGTCTCACCTTCTGAACTCTGACACCCAATCTCTGAATAGATATGAAGCTGAGCCTTGAAACCTGTGACCTCTAACCTTGGGCCAACCATAGCCCTGCCCTCTGCTGCAGGGCTGACCTCTCTCCCTTGGCCAGCCTTGACCATCCCCTGATCATAATTCCCATCCCCCCGCCCTTCCCTAGATCCCACGGAACGCGTCGAGTTCTGGGTGGGCAGCCCGTCCACCACCGCGGGCTGGGTGCGCGAGGGCGACTCCGTCCAGCTGCTCTGCCGGGGAGATGGCAGCCCCAGCCCAGAGTACACATTCTTCCGCCTTCAGGTGACCCGCCTCATGGTCCCTTTGGGCCACCCCCGGCCCCTAACCTTTGTGACCTGCTAACCCATATCAGCCTCTAATGCTGGACCTGGGTGGGCCCCGGCCTCCTGACCCTGTGGTCCCACGAACTGAAAGCACCTCTGACCCCTGATTTGTGCGAATCCTGACTCAGCGTGATACCTGACTTGGGCGACCCCTGACCCCTTCCTCTGGCCTAGCATGACCCTGACCGGTGACCCCTGACCTCGCATGACCCTGCTGGACCAGGGTGGCTCCTGAGGCTGAGTCCTCCTCCCCGGTCATCCAGGACAAGCAGGAGAAAGTGTTGAACGTGAATCTCGAGGGGAACCTGACTCTGGTAGAGGTGCATCGGGGCCAGAGCGGCACCTACGGCTGCAGGGTGGAAGACTACGACGCGGACGAGGACGCACAGCTGAACCAGACCCTGGAACTGCACGTGGCCTGTGAGAGCCCTGGGAGGAACAGGAGGGAGGGCAGGCACCGGGGCCCCGGCTGCCTCCTCGCCCTCACCCCGCAGCCCTGCTGTGGGTCCGACATCCCCTATGTCTGCCTCCAGCCTTTTCTCTGCGTTTCTGTGGGGTTTGTTCTGGCTCTCTCCCCTTGGGCCTCCACCCCTGCCCCCTCCGATCTGTCCCACACACCACACGGCAGCTAGGGAGCACTTTCCTTAGCACAAACCCCGTCCTCCCCTGCTCAGAACCTGCCCTGGCTCCCCAAGCGTCCTTGGGTGAAAGCCCAGGTGCTTAATCACGGCCTTCAAGGCCCACCTGGCCAACTTGGCCTTCAACAGACCTCCTCCCCAGTCCAGGCTGTCTCCCCTTCACCCCTTAAGGCTCTCTGTTCATTCTTACTTCCATTCTTCTTCCTCCCTCTAACCGACTCTTTGGGTCCCAGGCTTCCAAGAACCCTTCTCGGTTCTCTTGCAGCTCAGCCCTGGGCAAAGGCTGTTCCTCTTTACATATGCCTTCCTGGGGTAGACCCTGAGCCAGGGACACGTTTGTGAACAAAACAGGCCAGTCCCTCCCACTGTAGTGGGAAAGACAGATGGTAAGCGCTCAGGGTATCCACAGGGGTGATACAGATGAGGCTGAGGAGCTGGCCAGAGGAGTGCGGGTAATTTTATTTTATTGTTGTTATTATTATTATTTTCTTTTTTTTTTGAATTGGAGTCTCACTCTGTCGCCCAGACTGAGTGCAGTGGCCACTCCCGGCCACCGCAGCCTCGACCGGCTGGGCTCCGGCGATCCTTCTGCCTCAGCCTTCCAAGTAGCTGGAACTACAGGCGCGCGCTACCACGCCCGGCTAATTTTATTTATTGTAGAGATGAGGTCTCGCCAAGTTGCCCAGGCGGGTCTTAAACCCGCGGGCTCAGGCAATCTACTCACCTCAGCCTCCCAAAGGCGCGGGATTACAGGCTGAGCCACCGAGCCCAGCTATTATTATTTTCAAGTCAGAGTCTCACTCTGTTGCCCAGGCTGAAGCGTAGTGGCTCAGTCACAGCCGCCGCAGCCTCAACCTCCTGGGCTCCGGCGATCCTTCCACCTCAGCCTCCAAAACAGCTGGGATTACAGGCACACACCACCACATCCGGCTAATTTTTTACAAATTTTTTGTAGAGATAAGGTCTCTCTATGGTGCCCAGACTAGTGTCAAACTCCTGGGCTCAAGCCTTGGCCTCCCATAGTGCTAGGATTACAGGCATGAGCCACCGCACCTGGGTGAGGATGATTTCAGAGGAGAGGTCGCAATCTGCATCCCTGAGAAGCAGATTCTGACTTGGAGGCCTGAGGGCGGGGCGTTTCTGGGCAGTACCTTGGAATCCACCCCTACTGGGGCTAGAGGTTGAGGGAGCAAGATTGGGCAAGGGAAGAGGCTGAGTTGCGGTCTGAAGAAGGCCTTGGTCGGTCCCACGGGGCACTCGGAAGCTAGAGTGGCCCTTCACAGTTGTTCCAGGTGGGGCAAGGGGGCTGGGCCTGCGTACCCCCAGGTTGACCCATGGTGTTGCCCAGGGAAGGGGCCTGAACTCAGGCCAGGGGCTCTCAGCAGCTGAGGCATTTCCCAGAGAGGCCTGACAGCTGCAGGAAGACAGCTGTCATCCTCAGCAGCTGGCAGAATCAATCCTCCGTGCTGTAGGGAAGAGCCGGGTGTCCACAGTAGGGAATCAGGGAGGCCTCTGTGAGAAGGGGACATTTGAGGAAGAAACCAAAGAACAGAATCGGAAAGGCAGAGCGCTAGAAGAGCACTCCAGGCAGAGTGAGCACATGCAAAAGCCCTGAGGCAGGACCCGACTTGGTCAGCTAGAGAAAAAACGGCTGGAGAAAAACACCGAGAGAACAGGGGAGCTGAAGCTCAGGGGCCAATCAGGGAGGATGAGGGCTGGACCAGGCAGGATCTTTTAGGCTGCATCAAAGAATTTGGCCTGAATGCCAAGGATACTAGGGAGCTACTGCAGGGTTTTAGGCAGAGGGGAGGGCTGACCAGTGTGTGTTTTGGATAGGTCCCTCTGGCTGCTCAGTGGAGGATGGACAGGAGGGAGGAGCAGACGAGGGAGGAGGTGGCCAGGACAGTCAGACTCGGGGCTAGAGATGGAGAGAAGCAGGGCGGTCCTCTTTGGAGGTAGAACAGATAAAGATTTGCTAAGCAGGGCTGGTGCCGCGGCTCATGCCTGTCATCCCAAAACTTTGGGAGGCCAAGGAGGGAGGATTGTTTAAGCCCAGGAGTTCGAGACCAGCTTGGGCAACATAGCTAGACCCTATCTCTACAAAAAATCAAAAAATGAGCCAGGTGTGGTGGTGCGTACCTACTCAGGAGGCTGAGGTGGAAGGATTGCCTGAGCCCGGGAGGCCGAGGCTGCGGTGAGCTGTGATGGTGCCACTGCACTCCAGCCTGAGTGACAGAGTGAGACCCCGATCCCCCCTCCAAAAAAAAAACTTGCTAAATGGATGGCATGGGGTAAGAGGAAGGTTACCCTCAAAGGATGAGGCTCGTGCAGAAGGTTTAGGTGGTAAGTTTCAGAAGGGGCGCGTGCCACCCCAAGGTCATTCTTTGACCTTGAGCTCGGACGTCCACTTGGAGAGAAGTGGCTGACTCAAGCGTGTCCTTTGGGGTCAGACTCCTGGATTTTGGCTCGAGTGCCTGGGCGGGAGGGTGGAGACTTCATGCAGATGGGAAGACCCGGGAGGAGCAGTGGGCGTTCCCTGCTTCCCACTGTCCACTCACGTCTGTACCCCCGAATGCCCTGGGCAGTCCTGACCCAGTGGCACGAGGGGCTAGGAAAGGTGACACACTATCCCCCACCAGACCTGGACCCCCTGGAGCTGAGCACCGGGGAAGAGCTCTCCTCACCCCTGGGCAGCAGCATGGCCGTGAACTGCTCCGTGCGAGGCCTGCCCGCCCCTGCCCTACGCTGGACCAAGGTGAGAGGGGAGGGAGCTCCAGGCCTCAGACCCCAGCCTGCACCTCCTCCCTCCCACCACCCCTCTCACAGCTGGCCATCTGTCCTCTCCCCGCCCCAGGACTCTGTACCCCTGGGAGACGGCCCCATGCTCTCACTCAATTCCGTCACCTTCGATTCTGCCGGAACCTACGTGTGTGAGGCCTCCCTGCCCACGGTCCCCGTCCTCAGCCACACCCGCAGTTTTACTCTGCTGGTCCAAGGTTTGAGGCCAGGGGTGGGAGACAGACAGGCTTGGAAGGGGACGGTGGTGGGTCGGGGCCGGGGCAAATAGGACCAGTCCGTGGCTGGCCTCTGTCATCTGCTCTTGAACCTCTGTCTCCCTCCACCTTCCTCTGTGTGCCTTCTCCCCCACCCCAGGGTCACCAGAGTTAAGGGCAGAGGAGCCCAAGGGTGAGGGCAGCTTGAAGGAAGGAGACGAAATCACGCTGATCTGCTCTGCCCGTGGCTACCCAGAGCCCAAGCTCAGCTGGAGCCAGCTGGGTGGCAGGGTAAGGGGCCGTCCTCCCCCCAGCCCTCCCGCCAGCCCCCAGGGGACCCTGCCTCCCGCTCATCCAAGTGTCCCCCCACCCACCTCCGGGGGGAACGGACATCTTTCACCTCCGGCCTCAGCCCCAGCCCTCGCTCCCCGGACCGGGCCTGACCCGAGCCTCCACAGCCAGCAGAGCCGGTCCCCGGAGGGCAGGGCTGGGTGAGCAGCTCTCTGACGCTGAAAGTGACCAGTGCCCTGAACCGAGAGGGCGTCTCCTGTGAGGCCTCCAATCCCCACGGGAACTCCAGGCACGTCTTCCACTTCGGCACTGGTGAGTGAGGTGGCGGCAGGGAGGGGACAGGGCGTGGCGGCAGGGCCCAGCCTCCTGACCTCGCCCCCCTCTCCCGTCCTGTCCCGCAGTGGCCCCCCAGAGCTCCCAGGCCGGAGTGGCAGTCATGGCCGTGGCCGTCAGCGTGGGCCTCCTGCTGCTGGTGGTCGCGGTCTTCTACTGCATGAGACGCAAGGGCCGCCCCGGCTGCTGCCGGCGGGGGGAGAAGGGGGCTCCGTGAGTGGCTGAGTGGCCTCACCCTGTCCCCGGCCACAAGCCCAGGCCCACGCCCAGCCCGTAGCCACACTCCACCGCCTCCTCCCTCCACCCACACGTGCCACACCCCCCCCGCCCCGCTCCCCTGCCTAAAGAGCCTGTCCCACCTCCATAATTGTCTCCTCCCCACCCTCATCCCAGCAACTACCCTCACCCAAGCCAGAACCATCCCCAAGCCCATCCGAAGCTTAGCACTATCCACATCCTCCAGCTCCTCCCCATCCTCCAGCTCCTCCCCATCCTCTAGCTTCTTCCCAACTTCCAGTTCCTCCAGCCCCTCCCCATCATCCAGCTCCTCCCCATCCTCCAGCTCCTCCCCATCCTCCAGCTCCTCCCCATCCTCTGGCTTCTCTCCATCCTCCGGCTCCTCCCCATCCTCTGGCTTCTCCCCATCCTCCAGCTCCTCCCCATCCTCTAGCTTCTTCCCAACTTCCAGTTCCTCCAGCTCCTCCCCATCCTTTGGCTTCTCCCCATCCTCCAGCTCCTGCCCATCCTCTAGCTTCTTCCCAACTTCCAGTTTCTCCAGCTCCTCCTCATTCTCCAACTTCTCATTCTTTGGCTCCTCCCCATCCTCTGGCTTCTCCCCATCCTCCGGCTTCTCCCCATCCTCCAGCTCCTCCCCATCCTCTAGCTTCTTCCCAACTTCCAGTTTCTCCAGCTCCTCCTCATTCTCCAACTTCTCATTCTTTGGCTCCTCCCCATCCTCTGGCTTCTCCCCATCCTCCAGCTTTTCCCCATCCTCCAGCTCCTTCCCATCCTCCAGCTCCTCCCCATCCTCCTGCTCCTCCCCATCCTCCTGCTCCTCCCCATTCTCCAACTTCTCCTCATCCTTCGACTCCTCCCCATCCTCTGGCTTTTCCCCATCTTCTAGTTCCTGCCCATCCTCCAGCTTCTCCCCACCTTCCAGCTCTAGCCCTGTTTCCAAACCCAACCCAACCCCAGCCCCAGCCCATAACCACCCTCAGCCCCTCCCCACCTCACCTCATCTCCAACCCTGATCACATCCCCATACTCACCCCCAACATGGAACCATCTCCTTCTCCATCCCCTACCCCTGGGCTCACCCCTCACTCGGCTTCTCCAATCCCAACCTGGCTTCTCCAATCCCAACCTCACACCACTCAGCTCTTCCCTGGCCGTATCCCCACCCAGCCCAAGTCCCTACCCATCTAACCTCCTCTCCAGCCTTGTCTGGCCTCCTTTCAACCCTAGCCTCCTGGCCTGTCTCACTTCCAGTCTGGAGCCATCCCAGAACCTCCCCCAGCCAACCCCAGCTGCATTCCC